TGATGAAATTACAACCTTATCACTTTACTATAATCCATAAACCTGAACGAAAACATTCTAATGTTGATGCACTCTCTAGATTAAAGATACAGATACCCCCCTCTATAACTCTAAAGAAATGAATTTAGACCACTACCAAAATCTCTTAGAATACTTAGAAATAGACGAATTTCCTCTTGACTTAACGGACTTTGAAAAATGGATATTAATTAAACAATCTAGATATTATGAAGTTAGAAACAAAATATTATATAAGAAAAATCGAAAGAACCCAGATAAATTAATCTGAGTAATTAGATGAACAGAAGTCGAACTTATACTCTACATAATGCATAGTACCCCAACAGCTGGATACTTAGGAATAGATGCTATGTACTACAAAATATCAAACTTATACTATTGGAACCAAATGTATAAGGATATTAAGAATTATGTTCAAGCATGTGAAGTATGTCAATGACGAGCAAAGACTAAAAGAAAAGAACTACTTCATCCTATTCAAATAGGATGAGCTTTTGAAAGAATTAGAATTAACTTAGTAGGACCCCTTCCAATTACCAAGCAAAATAATCGCTATATTATTGTCACTACTGACTATTTAACAAGATAGCCAGAAGCTAAAGCTGTACCAGATGCAGGCACAGAAACTCTCGCTAAGTTTATTTTTGAAGATATTGTTTGTAGACATGGTAGCTCAAGTAATACTCTCAGATAATGGAAAGAACTTTGCTAGTGAAATAGTCAAAATACTTTGTGAAAAGTTTTTGATTAAGTACACATTTTCTTTTCTTTACTACCTGCAGACAAATAGAATGGTAGAAAGATTAAATAAAATACTTTGCAACTCTCTTGCAAAAGTGAAAGAACAAGATGAAGACTGGGATATACATATACCTCTGTCTTATTTGCATATAGGACAAAAAGACACTCTACTACAGGATATACTCCTTTTGAATTAACTTATGGATGACAAACTAAAATGCTGATTGAAGCTCTTATCCCTGTAGAAAACATAGATGCAGATAAAGAAATAACTTTAGAAAATAGTATATTACAACGAGTATTTGAGTTGATAGATGAACTTCCTTATCAACATAGTGAAGCTCGCAAAAATATAGAAAAATCTCAGAAGAAACAGAAAGTTAGATTTGATGTGAATATTCGAAAAGAAGAATTTGAAATTAGAGACAAAGTTTGGGTACAAAGAAAAGACTTAGAAAATTCAAGATCAGCTAAATTCGAAAACAAAAGAAGTGGACTCTTTATAATTAAATCAAAGCTAAACAATGGAGTTTATAAACTTCAAAAATTAGAAGGAAAAACACTATTGAAATATTATAATAGTGATAAATTAGCTAAATATTATGAAAAACAAAATTAGTAACTGGTAATAGTAATAGACAAATAAGATTTTTAGAGAAAATTTTTCAAAACCTAGTGGAACCCATATGCCAAATTCATGAAACATTTTGGATTTACCTTTCGTATAACATCAAAACTTATAAATATAGACCTTACTCCAACAAATTTTCCTAAATTAGAAAATTTTAAAATAGTTATCTCTTTAATTAATACCCCAAAATGAATATCTCAAACACTCAATAACTACAACTCCAGACCCTAAATATACTAAATGAATTCCTAACTATTTGGAATCAAGACCTTCTCACAACAAATCATAGTTTAGTTCTTATAGGAAATCAAGTTTCTGTAATGAATGAAACAAATATTTTTTTAACAATAATAATACTGACAGAAACAGAAAATACCAACTCGATAATAGAAAATAAATCTAAAATATTTGAAAGTCTTTTTCCTAGTATAAACTTAGATGAACTCCAAAAAACAGAAGAAACAACTATGCTCTTTCAACAAGAAAAAGAAAATTTCAATGAAGAAATTTTAGAAGAATTCTCTCTTCAAGAATCAGACTAAGAAAAAGATCAACCTCTCTCAAATAACCTTCTTACTAAATTCATCAATGATATAATAGAAGATACAGAAGAAGTTTTTATAAGACTAAATCCTTTAATAGAAACTACCTTTAAAGAAAAGCTCAAAGAGATAATATCTCGATTAAAAGAAGAAAACTGAGGAAAACAACGAGATCAAGTTCTTAAAACTCTTGAAGCATGCTACTACTTAGGACAACTATGAGAAAGCATTAAAGAAAATAGACAAAGACTAAAGTATATGCGAAATACTTTAAAGAAATCTTTAAACCCTCAACGAGCCAACAGAATATGGAAATGCTCTGAACAAGTTTATCAAATCTTCCAGATATATGAACTATCAAGACTTTGCTCTACTACGAAGATAATATTCACTAACTTAGAAGAGTTAAGTGATGAAGATTTTTCAAAACTGCTAGAATCAATTAGAATTTGCAGTGCTCATTTTTTAAAGGGGACAGAAATATTATAAAATGAGTTTCAATTATTTTATCTCATTATTTTATTTTATTATTTTATTATTAGTATTTTTATAAATAGTTAGTTTTCTTAAATGTACTTTATTTATTATATCACTTTTACAAGTAATCTAGTAGTCACAGATAGATTTAGACTTTACTATTAGATCCAGCTTAAAGAAATCTTTCAAACGAGCTATAATTCATAACTGTAGAACTCATAGTTTTAGAGTTGTCTTAGAAATAACTTAGAAATGGTTATTATTCTTACCGTTTTTACCATTCTTACTGTTCTTACTGTTCTTACTATTCTTATCATTTTTACCGTTTTTACTATTCTTATTCTTAATTGTAAAAAGTATATAAACCCTTCTTTTTCTCTTTGCTTCAACTTAGGTTTGACCTCTGCAATCTCCTTAATATTAGAATTCTCTTAGTATAGAAACTAATAGATAGTCTTGTATTATCGATATTGTATTCTAAATAAAGTATAATCTTTGCTCTTTCATTAACTTTGTAACGAACTACCATAGTGAAGTAATATTCTACTTGGATACTATTGAGAGCCCCTCTTTTATGTCTTATGTTACTTGTGTTGAATAAAGAAGGCTAATACTTGTAACAGTATAATAAACTTATTCGTACCTATTTCATTAATTTTTTCATATATAGATTTTCTTTCTCAAATCAAATAATAACTAGTATAACTATTAAAATCTGTACTACTTTACTTAACTCAGAATTTCTACTATACAAATCCTCTGCTCATAAATTGTATCAAGATTTATTTATATAATATTATATTTCTTCAAATACTCTGTTATACTTCTAATATTTGAGTAATATTAATGCAATGTAATTTACAGAGTTACAACTCTAAAAACAGATAGAATTTATTATAAGTTAAATACAAAAGGTCTAGATAATTATTCAATTCTGTTGATAATAAGATTTAAACTTTAAACTTCTTGTATAGTTATCTAATAATCTAACTACTATACTAAGATTACCAGATCCATATATTTATTAATTAAAGTTTTAACTTTGTTTTATTTTATTAAAAATATAATCTAATAATTTGTAAAAAGTTTTTTTTAACTTGGTATTTAAAATACTAGTTTTGCTTATTTTTACAGATTTTTAATAAGCTATATTTCTGCTAATAACAAACATAAATTACAATAAAATATCAACTTTGCAAATTCTAATTCAAGTAATTTTTGTTCTTGTTTTGTAATATAATCAATTCTGTAAAACTTTAATAGTAAAAATAAATATAAATTTGATACTAATTCTAATAAAGTAGATACACTTCTTATCATTTTTTTTTCATATGAATTACTTAAATATATTTTTTTTATGCTAATAGTATTTTAGTATATTATCAAACATATATATGAGCTACTTTTAATAAATCATTAATCTGCTGTTTATACTTGCTATATTTACTTCTTTTTTGTTTATATTCTACTACATGTTCTAATTTAATAAATAAATTCTATATTGGATCTAATAATATCATTATTAATATCAGTTAAACAACTATTCTAGCTTTGATTGTTAACATTATATAAAGAAAAAAAAAAAGAAAAATATAATTTTTTTTATTTTTATTTATAACTATTTAACTTATTCATTTAACTCATTTTAACTTATTATTTAACTCATTGTTTATTTACAATATACTGTATATCAAATTAAAAGTTTTTTTTAATAAATATTTATTAAAAACTTTATTGTCTCCTATTATTCTTAATTAACTAAAAATCAGGGTTTTTCATTAAAATATTTCTACAAATATTGAAAACTTATAGGTATCCATAATATTTAAAGCACACATCGATTACAATAATATTTAAAGCAGAGTAAAAATGTTTAATTTATTTTGATTGTCTTTAAAAATGAAACTCCGCTTACGTACACTATGTGCACACTATACGCATGCATGATTGCATGCAGGCATGAGCACCATGTACATGGTGCCCATCTCTAAACTTAAATTTATTCTTTTCACAAAATCTCCTCGGTTCCATTCTGTGAATTATCTAATTTTCGGAGATTACATCGCTGTCTTCAGACTGAAGTTCCGATATGAAACCGATGGAAACGAATAAAATTTTAAACAATTGGACAATTATTAATAAAAATTCATATTTGTCACGTATTATTAGATGAATATCTTTTATAGAAACTAACGTTGATCAAATTGATTCATGTTGCTTCCAAAAAAAAAAAAATAATAATAATAATAGTAGTAATAATAAATAATTGCATGTAGGTAAAATACAATAGATGAATGGGCTTATTATATAAGAATACAAAAAATCTACAAGAAAGACAAATTTTAAAATCAAATGAATGATTGCAACTCAGACTAAAATGAATGTTATATATAATGTCCGCTGATGGAAAGCCGTTTTAATTTTGTTTCACAAAAGACTAGGTAAAAAAATCAATCATATATTCAGTCCATTAAAGAACGATAATGATTGAAATCTTTTTTTTTTTTTTTGTATTAAAAATTATTATAGTAGTTTTAAATTTGAATAAATTTATTGGTCACATTAAAATTGTAGCTTATAATGATTAATCAGGATTTCTGTTGTACCCTTTCAATTCGCTTTAACCAGTTCAATTTACCCGCTATTTCGCCTTTAATCTTTACCACCTGTTCACTGTACTCTTTAGTCTTTTGATTTGAAGTTTCTACGTCCTTTTTCATTGCCTCAATTTCATTAAACAATTTTGTGGCATATTTTTCTTGATTATCTTGTAATTGAGTGTGAATTGATTCCAAATTTCCTAATTCGTCCTTACGTTCAGAATTTAATTCTTCAATTCGAACACTTGTCATCAAGACAACGTCTTCTAATTGTCGTGAAGTTAAATTCATTTCTTCACGAAGAGATTTAAATTCTTTTTTAACAATCTCGACGTCTTTGGTATATCGAGTTTTAAAAGCTTGCATTTCTTTTGATAAAAGAGTATATTCATACTCCGCCTTTTCTTTGCCAGCCAAAGCTTCCTGTAATTTTCGTTCCAAGTCAGATACTTTTAATTCCGATTGACGGAGTTTTAAATTTGCATTATCCCGTTCAAATTTCATATCAGAATTTTTCTTCTCGACTTCTTTAGCTGATTCTTCTAATTCTTTAGATTGTCTTTCTTTTCTTTCTAACATTCTTTTCAAAGAATCAATTTCAAGTCTTAAAGTTTGATGTGATGCCAAGTGTTCCTGTACTTGTCTTTCAGCTCTTTCACGAGAAACTTTAGCAACATGAATTTGAGTTTTTGAATCAGCGAGATCTTTTTTTAGATGGTCTATTTCTGCATGTAAATTTTCAATTACCCTTCCAGTTGTAGACTCGTTTTGAGCACTGCCATTTGGTTGGTTTGGTTGGTTTCGGTTAAGTTGCTTCTGCACTGTGGTGAGTAATGCATTTTTTTCGGCAAGATCGTGTCGAAGACTATGAACTTGTTGTTTTAAGACATGAATTTTACCAGAGTCTACACCTTATATATATATATATATGTATAATTATTGCGAGGTTTTAGTGTAATTTAGGATATATTTATATATTATAAGTTTAAAAATTATATTTTGTTCAAAAATATTCAAATTTATGACAGTTAAATAAAAGTTAATATGTAAGTAATATAATATATAAAAATTAGAATCAAATGAAACTTTTTGAAAATCCATTGTACTCTTTACTAAGTTATTGTTTAGATCTTATAGCAAAGAAAGCAGTGAATCAACAAAAGAAAAAATAATATGAATCTCACCAAGTTCGTCGTTACTCATGTGCTCAGATGCGTCAACTGTCATAGATGACAGTTCCGTTGTTGAAAACGCAGAAACCTCCAACTTTGGTTTGTGGTATAGTTGTTATTGGGAAGTATTTTTTGAAAGGCTTGTTATTACAAGACCTTATGTCCAAAGTACTATCTATATAAAGACAAAAGAATGACAAACTTTGAAGCTATTGAAGAAATTAAATTTTGTATTTTTTATTATGATATATTGGAGACAAATAAATTGGAAAGATCAATGTGCATTTCCATGTACACTACTAAGAATAGGGATGCCGTATTACAGTATTACTCACTTCGTCGTTCAGATCATGTTATTTCGAATGGTCTCGGGTTTAATGTGTTACATTGTATCCATTAATGTTCTTTCAAACCGGTTCGGTATAAAATTTTGATTATATCAGGAAAATAATTGAATCAAAATAACTTTCTAATTTTATCGGCCGATTAGTTAAATGAGAGTGATTCTCTTTATAATGAGCTTGCGGTTTTTTAATAATAGAAAATTCAAAATATTTAAGGGTTGCGCCCTAAACTTACCAGTTTGTGATTAGGTATAAACTATTTAGTTTTCACCTAATTTGCCAAATAATATATAACTTATACAGTATTTATATACATTTTTAAAACCAACTATATTCAATTATAAATAACCTTTTTTTGTGAACTATAGAAGGTTTGACTTTATTACGTATATGTAAAATATAACAGATAAGCGCACCTTTTTTGTACGTATCAGGTATTTCAATGTCATTAACGCTAAGCTTTGTTACATAATGTATAAAAAATTACTGTATTAGGCATTTAGAATCAGGTAAATATTATTATTTGTTAAGAATAGTTTAAAACAGAAATTTTAAAGATTTTATTTATTATTACGTATCGTTATTGAATAAATAGTTTAATAATAATTTATTTAAATAATTTAATTTAATAGAACCCAAGAATCACCATCTAACGTAATGAGTATGGCACTACGTAGTAAATTTTTACTTACATATTAGTATCACAATTTATTATGGATATAGTTCAATATAAAAAAAAAAATATCCTCACTTGATATCCTCCTGGATTATTGAACTAAAAAAAAATGAAAAAAAAAATAAAATAAATATAAAGACCTTTGAATCCCCATCTGACCACTAGATACTCACTAAATATTTTTGATGATAATCCTCAGCATCATACCATTCACCAGCTTCGACAATTTCTGTAACAATCTTTGAGCCAGAATATAATGAACCTGGCTTACTATTATCAAGTCTTTCTTGAACTTTTGCTGTTACTTCTTCTGCAATTTTTTTTTGTTCAGGAGAATAATAAAAGATGGCAGAACGGTATTGATTTCCAGTGTCATGTCCTTGTTTATTTAAGGTTGTTGGATCATGGGTCTTATAGAAGAATTCAACTAATGTAGCATAATTAATTTTGGTTGGATCGAATTCAATTCTGCAGGCTTCGGCATGTCCTGTTGTTTTTGAGCAGACCTTTTAAAACAAAGCAAACCAAAAAAAATAATAATAATTAAATGTGTGTGTGATTAGATTAATTAATCTCAGCAAAATGAGATTAATTAAATAAAGCTCGCCTCTCTATAGTTTGGATTATTTGTTGTTCCACCGGTATAACCAACTCGTGCCTCGATCTCTTTAAAATGTTTACGGAAAATATGTTCTACTCCCCTATTATCCGAAATTCGAATCACAATTATTGAAAAAACCATAAAGGAATATAAAGTCTTAAATACATACCAAAAACAACCAGCAGCAAAAGTAGCAACCTCTCTCGACATTTTAGCTCCACGAACGTATGAACGTATGTACCGGTACATATTAGATATCGGATATCTACTTTCTGTGCCAGGTTATGTCGATCATATGTGGTGTAACATAATGTTCATTGATGATCCATGCAAGCTCAACCAATCAGAAACCCCAAATTTACCCCCCGTAAATTGATTGAGCGAAGATACTATTGATGCACATTCTGGTAATCTTATATTATAAAGATTTTCCTTGGTTTCTTCGTAATTTCATTCCGTTCCGGGTCAAGTTCTGAACATCACGATTTTCCATTATGTTTTTGTTAATTATCATTTAGATGGTGGGATTATTTAATGAGCACTGACTTAAAGTATAACAAAAGGAAGGAAAGGCTAGTAAATGGCTGTGAAATAATTTTTATAATCATGTGATTACTTTAATAAAAGTACGGTTGAAAATATCGTACGAACAGCTTTTAACTGTTAATACGTACGTATATCGATATCTGATATTTAATCACGTGGAAATATCGTATTGGTCGCCATTATCTTATTACGTACATAGTAGTACAATTAAGTTAGTACCAATGATTAGCTTTTATTAGTTAGTTTTACGTAATATTAATATATGAGTGATTAGATTCTGTTTGAATGAACTTCAAACAACTAATTTTTAGTCCAGTCGATTATTTCAAAAATATTTAGAATCCCTGTTCTCGTAATTCATTGATATTTTCGAATAATACCTAAGGTTAGTAGTATTTCTCACTTCGCTTGCCCAACAAATATTTAGACGATCCTTAATACCTATTTTCCCAATTCTGGTATTCCTTTTTTTTTTTTTTTTTTTTTTGTTGCCAAGAATGAATAAAAACACTCACTTGCAATGTCAAACAGAGAAAGTATATTTATCTGTAATATTGAAACTTTCAGAAAATTCTTTATAAAATGCCACTCACTGTTAATTTGACATATTTTACAAAAAAAAAAAAAAAAAAAAAAAAAAATGCTTGAGCACGATTGTAAAGAACTAAAGAATATGTTCCATTAATCTTTTACATATCTTTTTTTATATTATAGTAAAAAAAAATGAAAAGTCCGAGAAATACCTTACTTGGTAAAACAAGACTTTTTAAACTCTTCGCCAAAAATATTAATGACGATCCGAAAGATAGAGCCGTCGCTCGCCGACAATTATCAACATCAACATTATCACCCACAAAATTCCAACAAAATTTTTTAGAAGTTGAAGATGAAGGTTTTTATACAGTCGAAGATACAACGACTAAAATAGGTGGGTAAAAAAAAAAAAAAAAAAAAAAAAAAAAACTTGTATTCCGGATTTTTGTCACCATATTTTTAATAAATATCTTATTAATCTCTAAATTATATATTTTATTCATTTAAATTATCTTTAAAATATTATAGATTTTCTAATTAAACTTCCTTATGAAATTGCCGCATATATACTCGTATTCGTTAATTTTCAAACCTTATGCCAAATGTCAAGAGTGTCTCGTACATGGCAGTATATATCTCAAGATAATGAACTTTGGCGTAGCATGTATATGGCAAATAAAGGTTGGAAAACATCAATACCGCGTGAAGCAACTCTTGCAGGTGAAGTCACTTGGAAAGATTTGTACAAAAACCGACATGTTCTTGCAATGCGATGGAAAAAAGGCGAATGTGAAAAAACATTTCTTAATGGTCATGGTGATAGTGTATACTGTATACAATTTGATGAACGTAAAATTGTAACGGGATCGCGTGATAAAACCATTAAATTCTGGGATATTAAAACTGGTGATTGTTTTCAAACATTATTTGGTCATGATTTATCTGTCTTGTGCTTACAATACAATGACAAGATTATGGTTTCCGGTTCTAGTGATAAAACAATTATTATTTGGGATATGCAGAGAGTTGATATACAGAAGAGTAATAATTCGGTAACTCAATTAAGACGCCTTGCGGGTCATTCTGCAGGCGTTTTGGACATTTGTTTCGATGATTCTTATATCGTTTCTTGTTCGAAAGATAGCACTATTAAGGTTTGGGATATAAATACTGGTTTATGCCTTCGTAATTTAACAGGCCATCGTGGTCCTGTTAATGCTGTTCAACTTCATGGTAATAGGATTATATCAGCATCAGGTGATGCTTTAATTAAACTTTGGAATTTAAAGAGTGGGGAATGCCTTAAAGACTTTATTGGCCATACAAGAGGGTTGGCCTGTGTTCAATTTGATGGTAAGTGGGTAGTTTCAGGTTCTAACGATAGAACTATTAAAATCTGGGATGTCGAAACTGCTCAATGTGTCCGTACATTAGAAGGGCACACTGATTTAGTTAGAACATTACATTTCGATGAAGACAAAATTGTCAGTGGAAGTTATGATCAGACTGTTAAAGTTTGGGAATTAAAGACCGGAAAGCAATTATTGGACTTTAAAGAAGGTCACACGAGTTGGGTATTTGATGTTCAATTTAGCTCAACGAAAATCGTAAGGTAATGTATATGTATTATTTTAATTTATATATATTTTTTATAAATGTTATTCATACTTGACACTCTCTCATTATACAATTGATAATATCTTTCTTTTACTAAATCTTTAAAATGTTAATAGCACAAGTCAGGATCAAAAAATTCTAGTTATGGATTTCGCAGATGAATTAGATACGAAATATATTCTATGAACAATATAATAACAAAAACAATTATCAAACATTTTTAAAATTTTTTTTTACTTTCAATTTCCATCACACATTCAACATCGTATTTTCTCTCAGTTTTCGAATAATCATTTTCGGCTAGTCGACTTCTCGAGTATTAGTGAATTTTTGAATTTTTGCTGGAATATAAATATTTCTTTCTTTTCATGTCTTTATATATTAATAGAATTTGACACTTTCTTTATTATACAATCAATAACATTCTTTTATATATCAAATTCTTTGTAATAATTTATTGGACTGTTTGTCATTCATTGAATTGTTTGTAATTTTGCAATTTGATTGGTGTGAGAACTTTAAGGATTATTAAGGTGGTTTAATGCGTTAATATTCATTTGTTATGTTAATAATAATGATTTAACATTAATAAAGAACAAGCTTTAAACGATGATTGATCAAATGTATAATTGTGAGTAAAATTGTGTACATTATATTAAGGTGTTCAATATTATAATTAATCAAAATTATGCAAGGTCAATTAATAAATTTATAAGATCAGTCGGAGTGTCATTATCATATTTTAATAATAAATTTCGCGTAAAATAATATATTTAATTTTTTCTTGCACAAATTTTTTATTTTAATTTTGTTCTTATTTCTACGATTATGATGTATAACCTTTTGTAATTCCTTGACCAATTTGGATACTTGGAACTTCTGACCAATTAAATTGCTGAATTTGAGGATTGATATCGTGTAACATCAAAAATCAAATTTGTTAAATATGAATGAACAATCGTTTATTTCTAAAAAAAAAAAAAAAAAAAAAAAAAATAGAAACAAAGACAATGATACGTACAATCGAAGACATGGTTTGGCCAATGATAGCGTATCACTTAAGGCTGAAAGGAAGATTTCTAATTCGTTTAACAGACTAGTCATGTAACTTCGCTTATATTTTTAACAAACGTTAACAGTTAAATAAAACATTACTGAGATTTGGGGGTCTATATTTGAATTTAGGCAACCAGTAAGTTTATAAAAATAAAATTATAATTTTTTTAACTTTATTATGATTAACTACTAAAATTAAAAAATGACCCTAAATTATTATAGAGCATTTACGAGTAATCCAAAAATTATAATTTTAGGAAGTAATAGAGTTTGAAGTCACCATCTAAACGATGGTCGGCAAAAAATCCGTATATACAGATTTATCATAGTAACCTTAATTAGATTTGTAAATCCTGATATCGCACACCCCATTGGAACAGGGTTTATTTTTATCTTGTATAAAAGTATTGTTACATAAATTTGGAGATTATTCGTTAAACACAGAATGTGATCTTTAGTATAATGATCGGGGGATAAATTATGGCCGTTGCTACGGACATAACATTCACGTGCTTATGGACTAGGGTTGGGGGCACGGAAAATTTTTTGGGCATGCCTAGGATGGCATGCCTTTGTCGAGGGTCAGATATCATAATTGATTAACCTAACTTATGTCATGATAATTGACCAATCAAATCAACGAAACTTCATATGCGAGGTTTTTCTATATAAAGAGTAGGGGGCATGCCTTGGGACACCGTGCCCCAACCATATTATGGACACAACAACCGGCATTACTAGCTCTAACCCTAACACTCTGACTAATGTTGTGTCAATAAGTCACGTGAATGTTGTGTCCGTAGCTTTTCAAAAGAATAAAGAATAATTCTTTTTAACATTCACGTGAACAAGTTAAAACATTAAAATTTTAACCAATCGGAAGTTTTGCTGATCAACCATGTTACCGGTACTACTGTATATATTAGTATAAGTATAGTCTACTTCATAGTAGATCTAACTTGGCCATAAAAATTTAAACCGATTTATTAATTAAATAGAAAAAAAGGTTATCTGTTATGTTTATCCACAATCAGGTTCATTGACACACCAAGTTGCCGAATATTCTAAACAATATATTCTGCGTAACTTTTTAAGATTTCAGACGTACCCTTTAACGATTGGATTTGGCAACACGTTCTGAATAAAATAAAAACAGTTAGTAAACGAGGCAACGACACTCTTCTACACCACTATTTTAATTACCTAATTCATCTTTCTTCTTAATTGCATAAGAATTTGAACTTCCCTCTGAAGCGTAAAAGAATTTAAACATTGAATTTAAGAACATTTTAATGTATTTAAAGACTTTAATTTAAATAATAATAAAAAAAATACAAACTGGCAGCATTGATAAGTTCATCAGCTAAACATTCTGCGATACTCTTAACGTTTCTGAAGGCCGATTCACGCGTCTATAAAATATTGTTACCATTTTTTCTTTCTTTGTTTTTTTTTTTTTTTTTGATATGAAATTTTTGTTCTAGACTTACTCCAATTGTTAAAAGAGCAACTGCTTGATTTACTCTACGCAAAGGAGATACATCAACCGCTTGTCTTCGAACAGTACCTGCACTACCAATACGAGTTGAATCCTCGCGTGGACCAGTGTTTATAATGGCATCAACCAAAACTTGAATAGGATTTTGATCCGTTAAAAGATGAATAATCTCAAATGCGTGCTTTACTATCCTAACAGCCATTAATTTTTTGCCATTGTTACGACCATGCATCATAAGTGAATTGGTCAAACGTTCAACAACGGGGCACTATATTGTCAATAAAATGAACTAAGTTAATGTTTCTATTAAAATTTTAATTGCTTATCTATTATATTCAATTAAAACGATAAGTAATTCATGCATTATTTGAATGCTCTTGCTGGATATGTAGCAATTAAAAAAAAAACTCGTACTTGTGCCTTTCTAAATCTTTTTGTAGAGAAACGACCAGCAGTGTGAGGTAAGTAGACGGGGTTTCGGATTTGAATATAATCTTGTAAGGAAATATCCTTAACCTCGACGTCGTCATAACTCCATTTGTTGAATAAACGAATGCCCTGGTAATCGAAGGCGATATCAGCCGGAAGAGCCATTATACTACCTGTATGTCAAATTAAAAATTCCTTTATTTTAAGATTAGACAAAATAATGGTCTACTGTACATAATATTACCTTTTTCTGTAAACGTAAAGTCGATAATGATAAAAAAAAATCTAGGATCTATTTTTTTTTTTTTTTTTGCAATATTTTGATTGGCACATTTAAATATGGTCCTTAATCCGATTGGTCAATTACTGACTGAAATTTGATAAAAAAAATTTTATCGTGATTATAAGGCTACACAGAATTATACAATTGATTTAAAAGAAGAAACGCTTGTTAAAATCGATAAAGTATCTGAAACTGCATTAACAATTATTAACAAGTTGCAACAAGAAAACATTAAACTCAAAGATGAAAATAAGATTTTTGTTGATGAAAAAAAATATCTATTTGAAAAAAATCCGACATTGGTTGAAGAAAATGGAATCTCACATCATTCGTAATCAATTATTAGTATTAGAAAAAACTCATCTTGAAAAAATATATCAAGAATTATCAGATTTTATGATATTTTTTTCTGACTTTTTTGGTAATGGATTTGAAGTTGCCAAAAACATCTTTTACAATAATTACTATTATCATAATATTGTATTTGAGAATCTTAATACATCTTTAGAAAATAATAACTATTTGGTA